TTCTACACCACATTTACAGAGATTCAGAGTCACTCAAGGTCAGCATTACTGTGAAAATAAAGAACTTGGAAACAAAGATTTTAGCCCATGTAAGGTCGTGGTACACCACACACCAGTAAGTTTGGATAGATGGAAGAAACAATGCAGGTAGTCTTAGGCGCTGATCACACAGAGACTAGGGCTGCACTATATGGTAAAAACATTATATTGCGATTATTCTGACACGTTGTGATTGCGATGGGATTTCTGATTAGTGGGAATGATCACTTTTGCATCTCAAATGTAATTTCACTGAATAGGAATAATTTAAATCATGATGATATGGAATTATTTGTGCTCTGTACTGGTTCAAAATCGCGTTCGGAAAGAGCATCAGGGATAAACCAGCTGGTGCACCTGTGGGCCATGGCTGCGACTGGCTAATCAAATATGAGTACCGATGGAAAAACGTCAATACAAGCAGACATTAAGCTCTAGATAAGTAAAGTCTGGCTTCATTTCAAAGAAGTGGATAACTGAGGTTTCTTTGGTTACCCCCGCCACATCCTTGCTCCATAGCTCTCTCACAGTCTAACCTATTTACCGGCATAGTAAACGCGTCAATATAGGAAGGAAGTGGTAAGTAAAGCTTGCTTGATTTGATTGGCTTGCACTGAAAAGTTGAAATATTTAAAACTGCATCTCTGTGTGATTGGCCCCTATGTTGCGTACTAGTCCTGGGGCAAAAAATGTAAAGATCTCACATTAGGCCTCCGATCAAAAAGCTATAGATGAGGCCATCCTCAAAGGACAAGTAGATGGGGGTAGCTGAGTTAGCACAACCACAACCACAATTGTCTTCTGGCACTTGTTACAGAGTCAGCAAGACTACAGAAAAATAGCCTTTGGCTGTCTTTGATTTTAAACAAAACCTAGTATATGGTTGGACCGTGTATGATTACCAATGGTGTCTGTAATGTGAATTTCTGGATATTAAATGTTCCCAGTAATTCCCAGTTCCCAGTAGTTCCCATATCATATGACATGCTTATGCTACATTTAAGTAAAAAATTTCCCCTCATATCTTAAAATGTTTGATTTGAAAGAGATTGTAATTATTTCCCCCTTATAACTCCCCCTTCTCTTTTATATTCGTTTCAATCTGCAGGATTCCTCTAGTGTTTCTATGACTCACTCTGTATTGAGTGTTTTGTCAGTCTGATTATTTGGGGTGCTTTAACTGTGCCTCATGCCTCTCGATGCATGGAGAGCTGTTTTCTCTCCTACTCCGCTCTCTGTTGGACTGTTACAACGCGTAACCATCTTCTCTGTTTCTCACAGCAGTAGGCTTTATCTGGTTTTCCAGTTCCATTCCCTCATGGTGAATATGAGACCATTGTACTGTCTGTACCCTCTGTGTGCATATGATGTGCTGTGATGGGTTGTTGCGCTGTGATGCATTGGTGAGTTATGGACTGGTAATTGGTTTCTTTTGAAGTGGGTGTGCTTGTAGGTATGGTTAGGGTGGAACATTAATTACCGTAACTCCAGATTTTACGAGTAGGCCTATAGGCGCAGCACTCTAAGCTGTGCGCCCCACTGGTTACCTTAACTAGCTGAAGAAAAAGCTGTTTTGGCAGCCGATTGTCTGGTCTCTGTTCAACTTGTACACAACGTGATTCTTAAGTTCTGCTCAAATGAGGCATGAACCCACTAGCGATAGCCATAGAGGGTTGCACCTACAGAATCTGGAGTTAACGTAATGTTCATGCTTCATTTTTGAAAGGGCAACGGCCAATGGGGAAACTCCATGACTCACTCACTCAGTAATTAACAGACTTTAGTGTTCATAGTGGTGTCCCCCACTTAGCGGCGGTCCAGCCATAAAGGGAAGAAATATCAAACTAAACTTAACCGACTCTAACTTTATCATTAGCTATCATTCTTTAATTACATAATTATATGAGGTAAATGTTATATCTATAGGTGAAGCGACGGTGTTGTCCTCTGTGAATACACCACTTGATGCCACTAAATCCAACACCTTTAACATACATCTAACATGCAACAGTTTTATGAAGGCCGTTGTATTGACTGAACTTAAGTGCCATAAATCGAGAGGATCCAGACACCAGAATAAACTCATTCTTGAAACTGTGATTCATTTAAGCAAGTTTCAAGTTTCTGCAAGATAATTTTTCAATCAAAATCTATTGGAAAGAAGGAAACAAGGACAGTGAAGTCCTTTAAAAGGTGTATCTTTTGAAATATCACTAGAAGAAGCAGAATCATAGAATATTCATAGATAGCAGAAATCCCTCTATATTACATACATGTAGGTATGCAGTAGGCCTATATGATTTTGTCAGTGTACAAGTAAACCAACCACAGCAGATGAGGACCTCATCTATGTAATGGAAGAATTGTTGTAAAGGAAGTATTTATAGTTTGCCTTCATTGCTCTCAGCTGGAATCCTGAGGTGGACTATTCATGCTCTTTACAGCAAAGTATGATTCAACGGTTTGAAAGAAATCTCTATTCTCAGTAGGAGACCATAAAGTAGACAGATTCTACCCAGTGCTTGAGGATAAAAAAGAGACATTTCATTTAACTACATCCTTGTTCTTCAGTGAAGAAGCACCCTTTTTTCTTGGTTTTTAAGGATTACTGATTTAAACTGTTTAGGAACCTGTTTCACTTTCTGAAGGACAGATTTTCCAGTGACTGCCGGTGCTAGCTTTTCAACTGCAGGAATTTTTCTCTGAACTGTTCCAAAACGACTTTCCAACATCAAGTGAATTACATCATCATATTTCATCATCATCATTTTATCATCGTATCTTTGTGTTGTTGTATAGCCAGATAATCAAAAACTGAATAATCAATTGTCAACAAAATGTAGTTCAGTCTGACTGTCTTAATGCTGGGATGGCATTATTTTGTTTTGTTCTTACTAATGAAGAGTGAGTGACATGTCCGTGGTGCCAGTTATTTTCAGTTGACCCGGATGGGGTAGTGGTTGCTCGGAGAGTAGGAATAGGAATATATATAATATAATATATATTTATTTTTTCTAAATTGACTGACAATTACTATCCATGATGCTGTGCTAACAGACACAATGACAGCATGAATTGATAGTTTGAATGCCTCGAAGACTGACCTGGCAAAGACTACTACTAAAGTGGCCATATGAGTTATGACTCTTCTTCGTCAGGAGTGATAGAGGAAGTAGTATGATCTTTTACTGCCACAAAAATTCATATGGAGTGGATTCTTGGGTCAATGAAGTGTGTTATTTTAAAATCTGTCAACATTGTTTTTTTTTGTTTTTTTTACCATAACCACCATATTTCTCCAACCTTAACAAGTAGTTTTTCATCCTAAACTCAAGAAAACCTTAAACAAAGAGGTGGCAGAAAATATAAACAACATATTTTGTCAGAATGTTTTTGGGACTTGTTTCCTCTCTGTTGAGATGCGAACAGTGGGTTCTGGTGTGGATATAGTTTTGAGACTATTTGTATAAAAAAAAATGAAGTTGTTCTTTCTTTGACACTTTGGACATTTTTCTGTGCCGTGACGACTGTTGATGTTAAAGGAAGTTTAAATCTGACTGTTTCATGTTCTCTGGTGTAATCCACTGCTATTAAGGTGTTTTGTTTCACAGGGAGGAGAATGGATGTTTATTGATCAGGAAGTGAAGGAGTGCAGTGCAGGGAAAGGAGGAGGGAATTGTGGGTAAAATAAGCCTGAGGATGTGTTCAGACATCACAAGGCTGTTCAGGGAATCAGAGAGGAGATAGAAAACAACTAGACATCCCTCTTTTGTCTTCGTTTTTCCTCTTCCGTGATTTTTTTCTTTCACTTTTGCCAAGTAAACCCACATCCTAAAATTTTACTTCCTGAATGGCATTTGTATTGTGGAGACAACGCAGTTGAATATATTTATTGAGCTATTTTCTTGTTCATTTGTTTGTTCTGTTGCTTGGATGTTTGTTCTGTTTTGTGTCTGGTCAAGAATAAACAGTTCCAGTTTATGGGCAGGTGACGGCTCGATAGAAGCAGTTGGCCCGGTTGCCCAAAATTGAGGGTTTCTAAAAATGATGATTGTGAAGATAGTGACCAAAAGAAAAATGATTGATTACGCTCACCATTCAGTCTCTGAAATTATAGATGACAGTGGTTACACTGCATGCAACATAACTGCAACATTACTGGTTTAATTCCACCCGCCGACTTTGGTTGCATCTCTTCCCCCATTTCCTTTGCCTTCTTAACTGTCACTTTCTAATAAAGGTTGAAAATGCAGACAAAAGGTATATAGGTGACATTAACCATTCAATCATTGATTATGATGATCGATTACTATTCTAAGATAACCTCTATGAACAGATATCTGCATATGAATGCAGCATCTGTGGGAAAGGGACAGCATTTTGGTATCGTAAGTATTCCTGTTTCTGTTTGTAGTCTTAGTAGTATTAACTAATCACGCTTTAGCGGGTTTTGGTTGCATGCAAGGAATGCATTGGCCTAAATGCCATCTCAGAACCCATCAGCTATCATCAAATAACAATTAACTTTTTATTAGCTTTTTTTTTTAAATGTATCTCCATTTATATCTTTCTTTATCTTTATATATCTGTTTATAGAGATTATCCAAAATGTGTCTTTCTCATCATTTATCCTTATGAAGTAATCACCCTGATATCCGTTATCCGTTACTGGCTACACCAGAAGCCCCAAAAACATTGGCCATTGCCCCCAGACACTAAATTGTCCTCAGGTGATAGCCGATGGATTCCAAGTTTGATTCAGAGCTAACTGAGCAAAATTTTGACATGCAGCTTAATTACAATCCAAGTTTGTTTTGTTTTTGCTCTAAAGGTCTGTTGTTAAAGAACTTCCACAAAACCATAAGGATTTATGAGAACACCAAACATCAAAAACAGATTATGTTCAAGTCTAAACAGTCTATACAATGTTTTGAAACCAGAACTCTTTCTGTCCTGCCCAGGTGCAAGCCTTCCAAAGCCCCAGGTGAAGACCGCCTCTCTGGGTCAGGCCGGTAAGGCTCGCTCCCCTTTGCTGCCCGTCTCAGTCCCTACGGCGCCCGACTTACCGGAGGAGGGAGGAACAAAACCTGCCGAGGATTCAGCTGCCAACGTAAGTCTGCATGGCGATAATGTTGTAGGAGGTGTTGCTGATTTAGTTTTACACCACAGGTACATTGATTCAAACAAAATATAACTTGCCAAAGCATGGGCTTAAAATGTAAAGGAAGCCTAATATTCATTTTACATAATTGAATAAATCGTATAATTATTCAAACCTAATATTATATAACATTAATACCATGATATTTATTCTTCTTCATGCATTTGTAGTAGTAGTAAATCAAAATGGTTGAGAGCATGTCAGTTTCTCTTTAGATTGTTTGCCTTTTGCCGAAGCTGTTGCCAGGGGAAACATGAAACATCTGTTAGAAGTAATTGGTTATATCAGTCGCCTTTGAGCTTGTCCTCTAATAACAGTAGACCGTAAATGTAAAAATACTCCACAGAAATCATCTCATAAACCCGGTGGTGCTTTCTCAGTATAATGCAGACTGTGTCCGAAACTTCACATGACCCCTAAAAATGGGGTTAGAGAAACTCTGCAGTGTCCAGGAGGCGTGAGAGCAGAGATGGATGCACAACTTCTTTGTGTTAAAGGTCCTGACTAGCATTTGGATTTAGACACAATAACTGTGGCCCCAGAGTGGGTAAATGATGTTACTGTCCTCTGCTGTACTGAATGTAGTTTACACCTAATGGAATTCACTTGTGTCTATATAGTTCGTAATTCACATTTGCAGTTGTAATAGTAGAAGTATACTGCCCTACAGCAGAGAGCAGTCTTTTTCTTCTACTTTACAACAACAGAAAAAATGTGCTCTTTCAGCTTTCCATCTAGTATTTTTATTAATACTAATAATAATTATCTTGATACTAATATAATAAATTAATCTATACCTTTGTTTTTTTTCATTTTAAAGTAGCTTGACCACTCCAAATGGTGTCAAAAATGATTTGATGATTTGTTCCTGCTCCTCTACGAAGCTAACTTTAGGCTAGTAACCTTTTGATGGTACTAATTTAGCGGATTTTTCCTTCTGCCTTATTAATGTGGAATAACAAACTAAATGACCAAAATGTATATATTTATCAATTTATTTAGCAGTTAAGGGGCTAGTCAAGGCTAGGTGTGGCTATCTGTAGCTAGTTTAGCTGGCTCTCTTGCTTTAGCTAGCGTAATGTAACTGACAGTTTGGTTTTTAGCTTGGTTTTATTTTAACTGCAGATCGGCATGCTGTTTTCTGTGGAGTTCTACATTTATAAATGTCTTAACTAAATTTTGACTAAATATGTAGTTACTGCATTTTGGCTCCGTAGGGTGGTATAGCGCAGTGCTAGCAGCCGCAGGAGCAGTAATAGTCGTATGGAGTTGATAGTTGGTGCCTTGGCTCTGACCTCGTCACTCCCCACAAGGAAACAGCTCAGCTCAGCAGGAAGTAGGGGGTGGTGATGAGGGTGATGCTGCTGGAGGTGAGGCTTTTGACATGCTGTATGAGCAGCAGCAGCAAGTGACAGCACAGCTTTGAGGTGAGCACTGTGGCAGCAGAAATATGCCATATGAAATGGGTGTGATGGATATATGTTGCAGTGAGGAGAGGATTTTTCAGACTGTGTCATTTGTGGCAACGGCTGTAGATGATGCGGCTATCATCAGCATTGAAATTGCTGCTAAAGTGATTCTGAAAAGCAGGGCAATTTAGTAAATTCTCTTAAATCCCTAACATAAAGAGAGTGTTTGTGCCTCTTTGTTAGAGGTTGTTTGTCAGAGTTCCTTAAAAGCTGACATTTTTGGAGACATATTATTTTTACCAGACCGCAATAATATTTATCCCCTTTAAAATGTAAAATGTTAATCTCCAAAGTAACCAATAACTGCAGCCATCAGATGTCGTAAATTCTCTAATGAAGGTCGATACTTTAAGTTTGAACAAATAAAGTTTGCTCCCCCATGAAAACATTAAGTGGATGGAAATACCCGTTTAGTACTTAGTTAAGTAAATGTCTCTAGTGTAAACCTGTTTCAAATGGAGGCTTTGTTCTCTTTGCAGTGTGAACATTTAAATGCAAGAGAGGTAGCAGGATCTCCCGACCTGTGGTCTGTAGCCCCCAAAAGGGTCTCAGAATGAATCATAGGGGTCACGAGATGATTGAAGGGATTCACTTTTGTCAAATACTGTTATTTAAAAAAAAACTGTTTGATTTTGGTTTCATGGGCTACTCCAGAAATGACTCTAGATGGATACCGACAGCCTCTTATTTTGAAGCGGAGGGCCACTGACCAAGCTGCAGTATTTGTCGACTTGGGAGGGAGACCAAAACATATGTCCTTCACATAATGATATTCCTTTTCTCTAAATTTCCTCTGATTATTAATCTTTTTCTTGTGGAAAAGTGGATTGTTTTACTCTTTAGGACATTTAATCGAGAACTGTGATCAAGATATGTGAATAGAAATAGAACTTGTCAGTGCTCTCTCAGAGGAGGGGCTGGAGGAATAAGCGAGAGGAGAGAAAGAGGAGGAAGAGAGAAGAGGAAAGAGGAGGTGAAAAGGACAGTGGATGAGGGGGAGAAGAGGGAAAGGATGCAGGAAAAGGAGAGGAGGACGCAGTGGATGGCTATAGAAGCAAGGAGGGGGGATATACATGAACGACAACCAGAACGGTCAACAGGAGGGTAAAGGAGAAGAAGAGGAAAGGCAAGAAGGAAAAGCAGTAGGATAAAGGAGAAGGAAGCAGAAAAGGAGAGGGAGGATAATAAGGGAGGAGAGGGGAGGAGTAGGGGAAGAACAGAAAGGAGGACAATAAGAAGGGAGATAAGAGGACAGACAAAGATAAGAAAACACAGGATGAGCTGGGGTGAGGATAAAAACATAGGAAAGGGTGAGGATGGAGCTGTACAGAGTGTAAAAGGAGGAGGAAAAGGAGGAGGCAGAGGAGGTGATATGAGGGTGGAGAATTGTTACATGAGGGGATGAAGAGGGGGGAGAAATAGATGCAGAGGCTGATTGAGAAGCAAAGGAGGGAGGGGGAGGAGGCAGAGGATGACAAGCAGGGAGATAAACGATAGAAGATGATGTGGAAGGACGCTGGACGGAGGGACTTAAATATTCATATGTGACTCAATGACAATTGGACAGGAGAAGGTGTCGCCACAGCAACGAGAAGGGAGGAAAGGACAGAGGAGGAAAGGAAGGGAGACAAAACAAGGAGAGCAGAGGTGTAAGGAAGGAAAGGGTCAGGAGCGGCAGGAGGTGTCATCCTTGTAGTAACAGGAAGAAAGGCAGGGATGCTTCAGGAAGAAAAAAGAAGGATGGAGGGAAAGAGATGAGACAAAAACAGAAGGGGAGAGGATGATGAAGGGAGGTGGGCAGGAGGAGAAGGTAGCCATGACAACGGGAGGAAAGGGATGCTTCAGGAGGGACAGATGAGGAGGAGGAGGAAGAGGAGGTAAGGGGAAGAGAGAGAACAGAAACGTAGATGGGAGGGTAGACGAGAGGAAATAAAGAGTGATTGGGAGATAGAGAAAATGAAAGGAGGTAAGACAAAAAAAATCAGGAGAGGAGCGATAAGGAGAAGTGGGGTAAATGAGATGGAAGGATGGCAGAGAGGAGAGAGAGAGAGAGGTGTGTTAAAGGTCAGCAGGTCTTTCTCTCCGTCTGCTGTTCTATCTCTGTAATTGATCTAGTCTTTTCCCATCAGCCCCCTGGCCTATCCATCTCACACACACACGCACGCACAGACACACACGCACAGACACACACGCACAGACACACGCACAGACACAGCTGGGTAATGGACTGCTACATAGGGTGAGTGAATCATGTAAGTACAACACCATGGTGCTTTTATTATGTTGTTACACCAGTGACATATTTTAAAGTAGCACAGCAGAGAGGGGGATATGGATAAAATGTCAGACTTCCCCGTGGCATTCAAGTCCATTGGTTCCTAAATCCGTAAAAAAACGTTCATAAATATATAGTTTAATTTTCTAGACAAGCTGGTCCCTGTAGTTTTTAACTAAGTTTACTCAAACAGAAGGAAGAAGTGCAGTGTAGTGTTAGGGACTATTTGTCAGTGGTGGATTAGTCAACATTCATTGCTTTAGTGAGTATTAGGGACAGCAGGACGGTGTGTGTGGGATTGAGATTGAAAATAAACTACAGTGTGTGTCTGTATGGCAATGAAGGAACATGTCAGTCGGTGCAAAAGTGTGGCTCACTGATGTATTTTTAAAGCCTAACTTACCCCCAAACCGCTTTTTTCAGCTAAGACTGGACTCCGACTGGCCTGCTACATAGCTGCAGCCTGTCACTCCCTCACACCAGAGAGTTAGCCTGAGCTGCTAACTTAGCTAATGTTACAACACAGGTGCCACATAGAAACTTTGTCAATGTGCTTCTGGTGACTGTAAAAGGTCCTCTGTTCTCATAGCATGGACACGTAGAGTCTGACAGCAGCTGCTCATGGCTGGTTAGCCTGGTTATCTGCGACTACCAGCAGGTGTATTCCTGTTACACTGAGCAGTGTGCTCTGTGTTTCTTCCCACATCACACACTCTATAGCCACAAGACCACGTCCCTTATGTGATCCTCCTGTGTCATCCTTTGCTGCATTTTTTACAGTTGCTGAGAGGAAGGGAGCTAGCAGAATGTAGGGGTTTTGGGACAGCGATGGAGCTGTATGGTACAGAGGAGTTTTGGTCTTTTCATAGGATTTGTTGCAAGAAAACTATCACAATACTCCTAAAGTCTAGAAACTTCTGTACCAAACGCTTTAAAACTATCAGTTCTATGCTCTGTATTTGTTCCAATACATATCTCAAGGGAGAATGAAGTGCCCTCTAAACCCCCACCTCTCTCTCTATCTCTATCCTCTTTGTGTGTGTGTGTGTGTGTGTGTGTGTGTGTGTTTGCTCCTAGTCTGATCTGAACAGCAGGTCAGAGGCTCACACACATACAATATGCATCAGATGACCTTTAACCTAAAACACCACCATGTCCTCAGATTCTTTATTCTTTAACTCAGAGTTTCACTGAGATCTGAGTAG